GAAGAAGAAGAAGAAGAAGAGAGAGAGAGAGAGAGAGAGAGAGAGAGAGAGAGAGAGAGAGAGAGAAAGTGAAAAAGGTTCTGGAATAAACTGCAGTGAGAAGAGCTCCGGTGGTCACGTCATCCTTGCGGGACGAGGGTGGCCATGACACCCATGGACTTCCAAATGCTCCTGTGCGCATGCAGACAGGCACACACCTGGAGTTACAGCGGGGAATGAATTCCACTCCCGAAAACATGTGTTAAGAAGCAGAGCAATGAAGTCAGACCCAGATGGAATTCCAACTCATCCAGACTATCTGATGAATGAGAAAAACAAAGGCCAGAGAAGAGGAGCCATGTCCTGTGGTCGCGAGGGCATCTCCAGGGCCGCGCTGGCCTCCAGTGTGCATGCCACCTCTCTCTAGTATGATGTGAGGAGTGAGTCCCTACACAGCACCCCTCCTTGAGGGTGGTATCCCCCTCAGGAGATAGCTACAACACCCTGGATCTTAAGGGTCTTGAGAATACCAGTGGACTGGGGCGATGGCTCAGCCATCAAGGTACTAACCACACTACACAAGGCCCGGGTTCCGCCCGTATTCTCACACATGAACATCCACATGAACACACACACACACACACAAACTCACTTCTGTGACTCTGGAGACCCCAAAGCTGTGGGTTCACTATGGGACTCGGTCATCACAGGTCCTGGGTCTCCTGTCCCTCTGCAGGCTTTCAGCTAAGTGGCCATCTCCTGCAGCTGATCATCCTCAGGTACACAGACGAGAGCCTCCAGCTGGGCTTTGATGACTACCTCAACTGCCTGGTGCGGCTGGAGAACGCAAGCCGTGAGTGTGCGGGGGAGGGGTAGTGAGTGTGCAGGGGAGTAGTGAATGTGCAGGGGACCATGTGTGTGCAGGGGAATAGTGAGTGTGCAGGGGACCATGAGTGTGCAAGGGAGCCAAAAGTGGACAGGGGAGCTGAAAGTGTCCTTGGACCCCTGGGGGCATGCAGTGCCCAGCTCCGGGTCTCCAGCCCTCATCTATGGGTATATAAGAAAGAACCCGGGAGCCGGGCGGTGGTGGGCGCACGCCTTTAATCCCAGCACTTGGGAGGCAGAGGCAGGTGGATCTTTGTGAGTTCGAGACCAGCCTAGTCTTCAGCGCTAGTTCCAGGACAGGCTCCAAAGCTACAGAGAAACCCTGTCTCGAAAAACAAAAAACAAAAAACAAAAAAAAAGAAAGAAAGAAAGAAAGAAAGAAAGAAAGAAAGAAAGAAAGAAAGAAAGAACGAACGAACCCGGGGAAAATATGGTAGATCTAGGACACAGAGGGGCACCGTGGGGTCTGTGAAGATAACTGTGCTCTGTCCTCAGCTGAGAGATGGAATATGAGTGGCTGTAGGAGACTATGTCCTGTGGCTGCCATTTGTCACACACCTACAGGTTGCTAAGGGCTGTAAGCAGGCAGGGCTCATGCCACTTACTGAGGAAAGGCCCCATTTCAGATCGAGTCTCCTCATAGAACATTGCCCCTCACCTGCTGCTGTCCCTCCGAAAGCCTAGACACAGACTCGATCATTTTACCAGAGAGTAGGAAGGCCTGTGTATACGTACTCTAAAGAGGTGGTTCATTGTCATACTCTCCCCCTACGAATATCCCTGGAGAGTGGCCAGTGTGTCCAGGGCGGCTCAGCCATCCTCTGTCCCTTCTGCTGCAAACAAACATAAAGCCAATCCTTGTGGCTTTATAATCACCATGCATTTTACACCCCTGGAAAAAAAATCTTAGCTAATCTTCACCACTATGGGTTGCCCAGTCCATAGTGAAGTGTCCAGGGTAGTGAAAGAACGTCACCATTGCTTGGTAGACTCAGCATCCAAACAGGTCCATACTGCATCTGTGGAGTCTCCCTTCTCTCCTTGCTGCTCTGGGACAGCCCTCCTCCTCCTCCTCGTTAATCAACGTTTGGCTGTATCTCTTCTGGAATGGGAGCCTGGCTTCCAGAGAAGACAGTCATTTCTCAGGTCTCTTGGGCCAGGACTTGAAGCCCGTTGAAGCCCCTTGGACGGTCTCCACCTTGCCAGGCAGGGAATTTGATCTCCATTAGAGGGCGCAGCTACCCACAGACTTTCCAGTGGTCCAGGAACCCTTAAACCTGTCCAGGGTCTTGTCTCCATCCAATGTGACACTCCCTCCCTTCCACCAGGGGTGTTCCAGGCTCTCAGGATAAAGAACAAAGACATCATCTGTCTCAACATAAACGAGGTACGGCCAAGCGGACCCCAGCTAGGGCCCGGCAGAGTACGAACACTCTGTAATCCTTACCCCAAACCCCCGGCAGGGCTAGCACTCACACTGGGCGATTACAGCGTAGAGGCTGGTGTTTCCGTTGGCTCGGCAGTCGGTAGGACCTGTGCTGCAATCCTTTGAGCTGTGGGTGTCTTTGTTGCACTCGCATCCGCTCATGCTTTGCCCAGGGAAGCAAGCACACGTGGAGGAAACAGAACATTCCATGCAAATGTGAGCAAGCCTGGGTGGAAGAAAGGAAACACTTCCGGCTGCTTCTGTAGCGGTCCACTTTCTCACAAAGAGCCTGAGCTGTCTGCCTGCTTCTCTTTCCCTCAGCTCCACTGTGGATTTTCACCTTTATCTGAAAGAGGGAGGGTCACCAAAAAGCAAGCTGCCCTGCCCAGGAGGTCTCTGGGAGGCTGCCCCCTTCAACACAGAGAAAATATTGTCATCTCTCTGTTCTCAAAGTTCATCTAGCCTTTAAAAAAAGATTCACCTGGCTGGGGAGATAACTGTGTGCGAAGTGCCTGCTGTACAAACAAGAGGACCCAAGTTGGAGCGCCCCCTCCCGCGCCCCCATAATCATGTAAAAAGTCGCCTTTGGTAGCACATTCTGTAATCCAAGCACTAGGGCCTGAGGCAGGTGGATCTCTGGGGCTCATTGGTCAGTATGGGCAACTAGTGAGCTCCAAGTTCAATGAGAGACCCTGTCTCAAAATATAAGGTAGGAAGGAGAATGCCTGATATCAACTGTAGGCATGCCTACATACATGAAATAATTATATATTTTAATTTATATAAATCAAAACACACCTGCCAAATTTGTTTTAATTTAAATATTTTTAAAAAATGGTTTCATGTTGAGTCAGAAGTCCAAATTTGTAGGGAGAATGATCAGCAGAGGACATGTGACATAAACTGAGGCTACTCCCGTGCTAGACCAGACTTGGAAGGGTAAGCCCTCGTCTCTCTCTCTCTTTCCAGTTCATCGCCTTGACCATGAACATCTGAGATTGCACCGGGACGCCGTCTGTCCTTCCGATACTCACCTTCTAGACCATGAGAGTCAGGATGGTTATTGGAAGGCCATTGTCCCCACTGCTCTCTCCCTGCCTCACACCACCCCCTCCCCTCTCCACGGTGATCTAGAAGAATCTAAAGGAATTGGCTGTGTTTTCTGATTCTGATATTTTCTGTAAAATCATTTCTTCACAAGAAGCAACGGTGCCACTGTGCCATGCATACACGTATAGCTATGTGTAGGTGCGCATGCGTGCAGCTGCCCTCAGGAGCCAGAAGATCCTCTCAAGCTGAAGTCGTAGGCGGTTGGGAGCTGGGCGGCCGGGGTGCTAGAGACCTGGGTCCCCTGCAAGAGCAGCACGGGCTCTTGCCTGCCAAGCCCTCTCTTCAGCCATCCCACCCTGGGTTTTGGCTTGTTTCGGGTTGTATTTGGTTTTTGTTTGTGAGGCAGGGTCTTTCATCTGAAACCCACCAGATGGGATAGGTTGGCTGGCCAGTGAGTCCTAGGGATCTCTCTGTTTCACACCACCAACTTTGCCTTTTTAAAAGGAGGCTTCTGAGGATTAAACGTAGATGCTCTGGCTTGAGAGGCAAGCACTTTACCTGCTAAGCCCCTCCCGGCCTTTTCATTCTAACTTTTAAGAGCATTTGTAACTTACTTATTAAATGAGATGTATGTGTGTAACAAGGTGCAGGTGAGTGCAGGTGCCTGAGCGGTCAGGGTGCTGGATTCCCTGCAGCTGGAATGGATTATAGGCATCTGGGAACTGCCTGAGGTGCATGCTGGGAACTGCACTCTTTTAAAGACAAAGTCTCACCTATGCAGCTCTGGCTGGTCTCAAACTCAGAGATCCACCTGCCTCTGCCTCCGCAGTGCTGGAATTAAAGGTGTGCCCCCAGACCTGGCCAGCCCTTTTAATTGTTCTTAACCCATGAGCCATCTTTCCAGCCATCACTACCTAAACATTTTTTTTCTCTCCATTTGGAGAAATGACTCGGTGGTTAAGAGCAAGAACTGCTCATGTCAAAGACTGAAGTCGAAGTCTCCACGCTCACAAGGGGGCTTCACAGTCACCCGCCATCAATGTCTGCTCCTCAGAGTGGTTTCTAGGCTTGACCCCATCACAGCCCTGTCGTCAGACCAAAAGAACACACACACGAGGCATAGAAACTGTCTCTAAAGGTTCTTAGACTTTTTTCCTCTGGGCACTGCCTGGCGCAATATATAGAACCAACCCCTGGTATTTGAAATTTGAAGTTGGCTCCAAACTCCCCCAAATCCTATCCACTGAGAGGCCAGGGTTTGAGAAAAACAGGGCATGTGACTTGGGCAATAGTACCAAGTTCACTGGTGCCAGCCCAATTCTGGGCCCTGGATCTTTGGTGAGAACAAGGCGTCATTCTACCGAGAGCCAAGAGTGCCTGCCAACTGCCAGGGTGAAGGTTACCCACCACCACAGCTGTGAATCGGTAGTAGGTTGTGCTGGCTACCAGTGTGACGTGGGCATGTTCCCAGCCCTTGAGCTTTTCAGAATGGAGAAAGAGAAGGAGAGGAGAGAGCTCAAAAGACTTTCAAGGCACATGAAGTGCATTGGAACACTCCTAGGGACAAAGCCAGGTTCATTGTCTGCAGGGGAAGCTTTGTTCCTTCCAATGAGAGGGAACATCCAGAGAGGCACTGGTGCCTCTGGGAGCAAATACAAGATAGCATAACAGAAGCAGCTTTAAACCAGTGCTTCTGTGCTCTCTGAGACCTCGGCCATGCCACTCTGAAGTCTTCAAGCACCAAGGCTTGAAGGCCAAGCCAGGGGGAGTCTCCTGGTCTAACCGAGTGATGGAGATACTGGGAAGAAGGGGGAGAGAATTGCCTCCCCCCCTCCCTGACAGCTCAGAGAACTGACTAGGGAAGATGTCTAAAAAGGTATCACACACAGAACCTGGCTTCCAGAAGCTTCTCAACTCTCTCCTTCCCATCACAATCGGCCATTTTAGGTGTTAGCAGATTTTATTCACTATATGGACTTGGTTCTCTTGCCCCCCAGAGTCTACCTCCTGCATTGTGGGTTTTATCCCCATGGTCGTTTCCCATCACTCTTCATCAGGGCGGCGCCAGCCACTTGAAACGGGGGCGTCAGTGAGATCCATGTGAGATCTACAGTCACAGCCCCCGGTCAAGTCCCCTCTGTGACACTGATTCTTTTCACGCCCTGGCTGTCGCCTGCCTCCAGCCCCTCTCTCTGGTCCCCTTGGTGCATTCACCTGCCTCTGCCCAGGTTTCCTGGGGGTTCCTCTCAGCCCCTCTGCATTTCTGGCTAAACGTCCTGTAGTTTAAGTCACCATTCTGCTGTTGTCTGGTGTGTGAGCTTCCGTGTTCCTTGTCTGTACACCACAGGAGAGGAGCTGTGTCTGCATTTCCATCCCTCACCCTGTGGAGTCATCCTGGACGCCTCAGCCCCTCTCTACCTTAGTTTTTGAGACAGAGTCTCTCTCTAAATTTGGAACTTTTCATTTGAGCTAGACTACTGGCCAATGAGCTCCCAAATCCACCTGGCTCTGCCTCCAAGAGCTGGGATTAGATAGCTTAGGTCCTCAGGGTTTGCACAGCAAGCCCTTTACCACTGAGACCCTCCGTTTCTACCTTCTTAATACTTAGAGTAAGGATTAGATTTCAACACCAGAAACCTTGGGGCACACGTTGAAACCACAGATTCAATACAAGGTATAACTTCTAGATGTCTCTTCCTCCTTTCGATATATTAAAGACGTTGCTCCAGTTTCTCACAGCTCATACTATTTCTGATGAGAAATCTGTTATCATCCTGACTTTTGTCCCTTTGTGTGCACTTTGTTCTTGTGGTCGGGCTTCCTTGAACATCTCCACCCTATGGCAGTAGCGAGATGAGCCCCTGTGTTCTCTGTACTTGCTGTCCACTGATGTTCCTGGGTTTCTGTTTGTTTATAAGTTTATGGCTTTTATTAAAGTTTGAAATGGGTTACTTCTTTCAAGCATTTTTTTATTACCCCACTTCTGTTTTGGGTGTAGAGATACATGAAGGCACTTGAACTTTTCTGACAGCTTGTATGGTCTCTTATTCATTTATTTTATTTTATGTGTGTGGATGTTTGGCCTGTATTTACACATGTGTTCATGTGAAGAATGCCTGCAGAGGTCAGAAAAGGGTGTCAGAACTGAAGTGACGGGTGGGTGACAGTAACCATGAGGGTGCTGGGAACTGAACCTGGGTCCTCTTGCTTTTTTGTATTTCCTTCCTTCCTTCCTTCCTTCCTTCCTTCCTTCCTTCCTTCCTTCCTTCCTTCCTTCCTTCCTTCCTTCCTTTCTGTTGTCACTTTTTCTTTTTAAAGATTTCTTTTATGTCTACGAGTGTTTTGCCTACATGCGTGAATGTGCACCATTTGTGTGCCTGGTGCACTTGAAGGTCAGAAGAGGGTTTCGAGCCCCCTGGGACTGGAGTCACGACTGGCTGTGAGCTCCCATGTGGGTGCTGGAAATTGAACCTTAGTTCTTGGTAAGAGCAACAAGTGCTATTAGCTGCTGGGCCAACACTACAGCCTTCACCTGTTTTTCCCAGTGTTCCATTCTATGACTTCTTCTGTTTTTCATTTTCTCTGTCTGCTTCTCATTGTGTAAGATGCATTTTCTCACCTAAGCCTGTGTGGTTTCCATCTCCTTGGGTCGGCTTAGGTTTTCTATCTTTTCCCTGTCTCTGTTCCATCTTCCCCCTAGCTTTGTGTACACACAGAGCACTATAGAGCCCTATCTGTGCCCTTGTCTCTCAATCCACGCTCTGGCTCAATTCTGGGTCAGTTTAAATGATTGATTTCCCCTGCATTATGGGATGTGTCTTCCTGCTTTGTCTGCATGACTGAGCACTTTTAATTGATTGTGAATTTTAGCTTGGTTGCTAAATATTTTCACATCCCCATAAATGTTATTTACCTCTTAAGAGACACAGGTTATTGGAAATCAGTGGGATCATTCTGTGTCTTGATTTTAAGTTTTGCCACCTGGGACCACAGCAGCATCTAGTTTAGAGTCCACTTTCCCCTCTGCTCAACTCACAGACAAAAATCCAGTATAAACCAGTTAGTTTTAAGGTCTTTCATCTATTAAAAATTATTTTTAAAAATTATTTAATTTTAAGTTGTATGTGTATGGGTGTGCTCCTGAGCGTGTGCACCATGTGTGTGCAGGAAGCCTTGGAGGCCAGAAGAGGGTGTCACAACTCCTAGAAGTGGAGTTACGGGTGTTTGTGAGCCACCACGTGGGTGTTGGGAACAGAATTTGGGTCTTCTCCAGCATCCTTCTCTCTTTTTTGACCCAGTCTTATGTAACCAATCTGGAACGTGCTATGTAGCTGATAATGACCTTGAAACTCTGATCCTCTGTTTCAAATGCTAGGATCACAGACATGCATGACCAAACTTGGGTTCTGTGGTGTGGGACTCAAACCCAGGGCCTCAAGTCAATCTCTCTCTACCAACTGAGCTACATCTCTTTCCCCAGAGGTCTGTAATTTTAAATCTCTTTTTTCAGGTAATACAACATTTTCACTGTTCTGGGTTTAGGAAGCCTTTAGAGGCTATTATTAACTCTACCACATTTTCTGGCTCTCCCCCCACCCCCTACCAAATTCATTTCTGTCCCCTACATGAGAAACATTGGTGCTCACTAGCCCACACTTCCAGCTTCATCAGGAGAACTGGAACCGTCAAACACACTGCCTTTTCCAGGTTCCTAGCATCCAGACCAGTCCTGTCTCTGCCCAAATGCTGTGCTGCCTCACCAACTGTCAACGGCCCCATCGTCAGGTCTCTGCTTTCTCGATTTCTCCCTGGGCGTCTCTCTGATTGAGATGCCCCCACAGGGAGCGGGCTGCCAAGGTGCCTGTAGTTTATAGATCCCTCACTTGGTCATGCGGAGTGGGGAAGGTGGGTCTGGTTGTGCTGGCCTCTTCTGCTATCTCAGGATAAAGAGGAATTGATAATGCAGAGGGGATGCCTTTAGGACTTTGGTTTGAGGGCTGAGAAAGCTACATGCTAGCCTCTGCAATGTGAAGGAGAAGAATTCAGGCGGTGTTCTCAAGATGAGCACATGGACAGAAGGTTCATGGGAAGAAATGAGCACCCTTCATGGGTCTCTGGACCTCCTTTCTCTTCGGCAACTTGATGCAGAGCCGCAGAAGGGCAGCTGGCAAAGCAAGAATGGGTTTTGTAGAGAACATTCTCAGTGGGAACAGGAGGGTGCAGAGCTCAGGGAAGAAGGCTGAGAACTGGTTCTTGAGAATTCTCTTCAAAGTGATCCCTCTAATGTTGGGTCTCCATGCTGCTCCGTCAGTCCAACAAGAACCCTCCCACCGACATATTGACCGTCCCTACATCAGATCAAGTTCCTCCTCTACTGCCCCCACCACCAGGGGACGTCTGTCCACTCTAGTCTGCTGACTTGTGTTAGCCAGCATGCCCCCTTCCTGCTTTTAACATGTGTGTGTCTATGTCTACCTGTATGTGTATCTGTGTATATATCTGTATGTGTGTGAGTGTCTGCATATGTGTGTATCTCTAAGTGTTGTGTGTGTCTGTCTGTGTGTATGTCTGAGTGTATATCTGTATGTATCTCTGTCTTTTTTTTAATATTTATTTATTTATTATGTATACAGCATTCCTTCCATGTATGCCTGCAGGCCAAAAGAGGGCACCAGACCCCATTACAGATGGTTGTGAGACACCATATGGTTGCTGGGAATTGAACTCAGGACCTTTGGAAGAACAATCAGTGCTCTTAACCTCTGAGCCATCTCTCCAGCCACTGTATGTATCTCTGTTTGTGTGTCTATGTGTGTCTGTATATCTCTGTATGAGTGTGTGTGTCTGTGTATATGTGTATCTCTGTATGTGTCTGTGCATGTATCTCTGTGTTTGTATGTCTGTATATATCTATGTGCATGTGTCTGTATGTAACTCTTGTCTTTGTGTGTCTGTGTATATGTGTATCTTTGTATGTGTGTCTGTGTGTGCATGTATCTCTGTATTTGTGTGTATCTGTATATGTGTGTTTGTGTGTGTGTGTCTGTATGTGTGGGTATGTGGCCTGTGTGTTTGTGTATGTGTGTCTGTGTGTGAATGTGAGGAGGTCAGAGCAGGGTGTCAGTTACCTTGTCTCTGTATCTGTGTTTATTGTTATCTAACTTGAGAGTCACAACCTGTGTCCCCAAGGCAGGTCTGGCCATGCATCCTCAATAAGCCGGTGAAAAGAGCCACATTAAAGTGGAAAGCAGGAAAGGGGATTTATTGAATGTGGCCATACTGGGGAGAGGGACAAAGAGTGCCAGCAAGCCCTGTCTCCCCCAAGTCCAACTTCGTGG